AGGACTGGCGTTTCTAACCTGGTTATCATTGTGGCAGTTCCTGGGAGTCATGCCAGAACTGAACCTCTTCTGCACAGAACAGGGGCTCCCAAGGATCTGATCTCAACCACACACCTCCTATGCCCTAAAGATACTCCCTAGGCTTCAGGCTCTCTGTCTGCCTAGAATGTTCTAGACCTTCTTTCATTTAGACAGCTGTCTGCTTATCCAGGCTTGCTTCCTCTTAGAAGTGTTTCCCCTCTGCCCCAGAGCATGTGCCCCAGGCGTCTTTGCCCTGGCTCCCCTCAGGCACCCCCACCTTGCTCCATATCCAGATTCTGAGCTGTGTGAGGACAGGACCCATTGATTCCCATTGTCTTGCCTTGATAGACTGGAACAAACCAATTAACCTCCGGTTGCAACACTTCACAGAGGAAATTTGCCGCTGCAAGACCCAACACCGTTTTCAGTGGCAATCTGTGCAGTAGGTACACACACGTGCCCTTGCAGGTTGAAGATGTGAGGATTCCAAACTGCCCTTGCCTCTGAACATTGTTCAGTGTCAGAGCAAGATCAACCACTGGCTGTCAGAAGCCTACAACTTCAAAGGCAGATGAAAGCATAGCTGCTTCTGTGTTCCTTACTTTCCCGTTTCCTTTCTCTGGCAGCTACAAGGTAGCAGAAGGTCCCAGCATTTGCTTTTGAATGCAGGCCAGTACTGCTAGAAGCTACCAGAAGGCCTGTTGACAAGGATGTAAAGGCCCCATCTCCTCCAACGTGGTTCCTGTTGACCCTGGCATTCTCTTGGGTCTGAGACACAGTCTTCCTGTCCCGGCATCAGAGGGGCCGGGAGGGCATGCCTTCAGTGTTTACAGCTCTCCGCTCTCACCCACACCTGCACCTCTGCAGTGCACAGCTGTCTAGGATTATGGTTCCTGGGAACCTCCAGCTGGTTCTGGGCACTGTTGCTTCCTCCCTGTGGCCACCTGCTGAGCCATCCCAGCTGTCACTGGGAAGCAGAGAAGACTCAGTTGGGGTACCCATCACACAGGGGGAGGAAGGGCTCTCTACATTCCATCTGGGGAGACTCCCAGGCAGCTGAGCTGAGAACAGCCCACTTAGCTTCTAGTTCCTGACTCCATTATCTGGCAGTGAGAAGTCAAGCCCATGTTCTAGCATAATCTGGGCAACCCCCCAGGGCTTTGAGCTCATTTCTCCCAGATGAACTTTTATTATTTATTTATTTATTTATTTATTTAATTTATTTATTTAATTTTATGTGTATGGATGTTATGCCTGCATGTGCTAGTGTGCTTGTGTTGTGCAATGCCTGCAGAGGACAGAAGAGGGTGTCAGATCCCCTGGAATTGGAGGTATGGATGGTTGTTAGCCACCATGTGGGTGCTGGGATTAGAACCTGGGTCTTCTGCAAGAACAGCCAGTGCTCTTAACTGCTGAGCCATCTCTCTGGCCCCCGCAAGATGAACAGTCTTGTGACACTGTGGTGGTCAGCTCTCCTGCAGCTGCAGTGTTCACAGCAAGGTGATGGTACACAAATTGGACTATATTGCTCCATGGAAGCCATGGAGAGGAGAGGCGTTCCCAGTGCAGGCATTTCCTCGCATTCATGTAGTAAGCTGAAGATAACAGTCCTATCATCTATAAGCATCCATTTAGAGATGGCCTAACTCTGAAAACTTAAACAACATGTCCACAGAATTTCCCCTTATAAGCGGTGTAGGACCAGGGCTTGGATTCTGAAATGTTCATCTGTTTTATGTGGCCAGGTGACTCTTAGGTCCTAACTTTAGTCAGATCAGTAGCATCTTTTTGCATGAATGTGCGTGCATGTGTGCGTGTGTGTGTGTTACACATGCATGTTCTCAGGTGTGTGGGTACATGTATATAAGTGTGCATGTAGAAGCCAGAGGTTGACAGTGGGTATCTTCCTTAATCTCTCGTAACCTTATCTAACCAGGCAGAATCTCTCACTGAACCCAGAGCTCACTGATTCTGCTGGTCTAGCCTACCAGCTTGCTCTGGGGATCCCGTTTCTGCCTCATGAATGCTGGGATTACAGATAGGTGGCCATGTTTTCCCAGCTTTTACATGCATGCTGGGAATCCAAACAGCACCACTCACATTTGCATGGCAAATGCTTTACTTGGTGAACCATCTTCCCATCCCTAGTCAGCAGCATTTCAGAAGCTGAGAGTTAACTCCAGGGCCTTTAGAGTCACCACACAGTCATGGGCCACATTCCAGTGTGCCTTCAGACAGCGGCTCTCAGACCAGCTAGACTCACTGAAATAGATGTCCTGACACAAGGCCCCAGTGACAGTTCTCTGCTCGGCTCTAGGTGCCATATACACTCTTCTCTGGTGGCCTCCCCAGCTCTGCTCAGAGGAAGGAGGGCTTGGGAGAAAGAAGCTTCTACCTCCTTCTTGAGGCCACAGGTCTCTGCCTGCCTCCTGTTGCCTCCCCCAACCCCCCACTAATTCTCTACTAAAAGTACCATCTCAGTGTCTGCTAAGGCTCCCTCTAGCATCAATTTTGATTAAAGCAGGAAGATGAAAGATGTGATTTTGGTTTTCTTCCACTCTGGGAATGCTAGACTGTTTAAAGCACCCTCCATCTGAGCTGTGACAGAGTCGTGACTTGCTCAGCAAGGTCTGTGATGTTGAGGCTCTTCTCGCTATGGAGGGAGGAAGAGTCTCCCTTCACCCCTGTGGTGGCATTCATGGTTTCCCTGGATACCTGGTAACCGGCTGGCAAATGAGCAGCCCTGCCCAGTTACAGCTAATGCAACTTACACTTAGAAAGACTGTATTAAGAAGTAGGGACAAGTTTTGAAAGAGACATTAGACAAGGTTTTAACGGGCTTCATAATAATCAAATCAGAGCTATTCTGTTCCACCACTGTTCTCAGTCAATTTAGCAGTGAGATTCTTTCTTGACTCTTCTAAATATTTTTATTAATGTGTATGTATTTATTAAGTCTATGTGTGCAGGTGCCCACAGAGGCCAGAAGAGGGCATCAGAATCCTTGGAACTAGAGTTGCAGGCAGTTGTGAGTTGCCTGATATGGATGTTGGGAACTGAACCCCAGTCTTGTACAAGAGCAGCAAGTGCTCTTAACCACCAACCAATCTCTCAAGCTTCTTAATAAATTTCTAGTACATTTTATTTTTTAAGTGTTTGGGGTGTGGTGTGCCATACACACATGTGGAGATCAGAGGACAACTTGTAGGACTTGGTTCCTCCTTCCACCATGTGAGTCTTGGGGCTCAAGATCAGGTGAGCAAGGCTTGCAAGGCAGTAAATGCCTTCACTCACGTAGCCATCTCACTGGTCCCCTTTCTTGACTCTTTCCGGATGCTTTTCATAGGAAGTAAGGAGACTGGAGCCCATACTTCTCTCTGTCACGAATTTCCCCACTGTGGCCTTTCACCTTGCCTACCTTGACCTTGTAACCTCCCCGAACTTGACTCCACATATTCAGCAGTAGTTTAAGTGGTGCAGGTCTGCCTAACCTTGTCTCCAAGTGGGTGGTGGCTGTAGCCTATGTTTGGAACAACACTGAGCTACCTCTGTGGCTCAGAAGCTCTTGCTATGTACATGGGTGGTGGGAGCAGGAAGGACCATTTGTTTGGTCTCCTAATTACAGCCCAATACAGGCAGGGCCACTTAACCGACAAACACATCCTCTGCTGGATACCTGCTTCCCTTGTGACTAGCCACTTTCCCCCTCTTTGGGGATACCTTGGGCCCTATCATGGCTCCTGAATCTATTTGCTTCCTGTCTTGGCTGCTGTTCAGAAGTGGTGCATTAACTGTCTCCCTAACCAATTCTGGCCAGCCCAGAAGCTGTTGGCTTGAGTCAGCATAGAAAACTCCCTGGGCTCTGGAGTCCTGCATGGCTGGTCCCCAAACCCTGAGATAGGCGGCTGGGTCATGAGGCTCAGTGCAAATGCCCCTCGAGCCCCTTCCTCTAGAATATGTACCATGTTTTAGAAATTCCAGCTCTAACTGTATGGGAACACAGTGACAGATTTCTCAAAGAAATTCTGGTCCTAGTCTACCACACTTTTTCCCTCCCTGGTCTCAGTGATGCTGTTAGCTGATGACTTCTAAGAGAAACTTCAAAACATGGCTAAGATTTGAAGGAGGTGGTCAGTGGGACTTGGCAGCTTTAAGGGGACATGCATTGGATGGGTGGGGTGAGGTGGCAGGAAGGTGGAGGGGAAGGAGAGAGTGTTCTCAACTTGCAGTCATTGTTCTACCTCTGGGACTGATAAAAGGCAGGTTTCCAAGGCACAGAGGGTCACTCTGATCAACAGGCTTTCTTGGGGTGTTTCAGGCAGGACAGATTTGGGCCAATCCTGGACACAGCCCACATGGGATTTCCACCTAGAGCAACCACGGGGTGCACTATTTGCACAGACAAGCACTATGGGTCACACCAACAACGTGACTCCCAGGAAGGGCTGAAGGGCCTGCTTCGTGGTGAGGTGCGGGAGGTGGGGGGGGTCACCATTCCAGTGAGCTCCGTAGGAAAAGATATAGTTCATTAAATCTGCATCCTGCTTTGTTGTGGTCTTAACACCATCAGATACTCTGACTCATGCCATCACACATGAAGAAGATGCCTGGGAAATGAGTGAGGGAGGGAATGAGGGAAGTAAAAGCCAGGGGCTGCCAAGCCAGCTTGTCCTCACCCCAGCCCCATTCTCCACGCCCGGGCTAAAGTTCTGCTCCCATTTCTACACGTCCGGAACCTACCACAGCCGTTTCTACAGGATGCTGCCTGCTTCATAGAAATAGGCTGCTAAGGTAGAGGGGTGGAGATAGAGGCAGAAGGGTTCACTACAGAGGACAGAGAGAATTCTGATCTTGACCTCATGACAAAGCAGGAGCATTCTTTGTGATGCCTCACCCATGCTGGCCTCCAGGGCCAGCCCAGCAACCTGGTGCTTTGGGAACAGCCCCAGGTAAGTGGCCGGCAGTCCAAGCATCCCTACCTGTATCTCTGCTTCACAGACTGCTTCTCTGTGGCCTTGCACACATGCCCTGCATAGTACAATGGGAAGAACAGAAAGTTCCAGTTGGTGGCAAACCAAGTCAAGGTGAAGGGCGCATCAAAGCTCTTGAAGGTCAGCTTGGCGAGCTGTGTGGAGCCAGCCCAGGAGGCACACACAGAGAACACGACGGCCACACTCCAAAAGATCTTCTTGAGCTGTTCCTGAGAGCAAGTCCAGCGATACCGGCTCGTTCTTCCTCCGGCTTCTGTCCCAGGTGGCGCCTGGGCCTCTGCTGGGCCCGAGGGCTCCCGGGGGCGCTCCTCCCCTGAGGAAGAGAAGGGATATTAGCTGGGTCTGCAGACTTCTAATTGAAGCTACTGTTGGATCCCTGGCAGCCATCTGGGGTCAGGGAGGTGGGTGCTGGGCAATGCTCTGGCCAGCCGGCAACACAAACCGCAGCTGTGGCATGTGTGACAGGTTTCCCACCCTGGGGAACCCTGGCCCACAGGGCATGGCCCCCAAGCAAGCTAAGCTGCACAAGCACTTTTCCAGCTTGCCCTGGGAGCCTTTTGGAGTGACAAAGTCTTAGATGGATCCCATCCCAGGCCCTTGAACCAGATGTGATTTCAACCGGTGATCTTTGTGGGTCAGTTTGGGGAATGCAAATCCAGAACACACAGAAAAGCTAAAATATTCTCTTTCTTATGTATGTGTCTTTCTCTTTCTTTTTCTTTCTTTCCTTCCTTCCTTCCTTCCTTCCTTCTTTCCCTCTTTCTTTCTCTCTCTTTCTTTCTCTCTCTTTCTCTTCCTTCCTTCCTTCCTTCCTTCCTTCCTTCCTTCCTTCTTTCCCTCTTTCTTTCTACTTTAGTCCAGCAACCTCACTACTTATGTGTATTTAGCAGTTCCATGGATTATTTTTCCTTTCCTTTCCCTTTCTTTCTTTCTTTCTTTCTTTCTTTCTTTCTTTCTTTCTTTCTTTCTTTCTTTCTTACATTTATTCAAGACAGGGTCTCATCTATCTCAGGCTTACCTTGAATTTGTTATATAGCTGAGGATAACCCTGAACTTCTGTTTCTCCTGCTTCCAACTCTGGAATACTGGGATTATAGGTACATATCACAATGTGGCTGGTCTTATGCAGTGTCAGGGATCAAACCTAGGGCTTCTTGAGTGCTGGATAAGCACTCTGCCAATGGAACTATATCTCTAGCCTTGTTTATTTACTGTGGTGGTGGGAGTGGAACCCAGAGTCTTGTGCACTAACACTTACCTAACAGTAACATTCCAGCAGTCACTTCCTCCTCTCATTTTCAGTCTTATCTAGTTGTTCATGCTGACTTAAGTGCAAGGCTCAGATCCTCCTGCCTCAGCCTCCCCAATAGATGGGATGACATGCATGCACCACCGGGTCTGGCTTCTTGCTCCTGTTTATGTTAGTTCACATGTGCTTATGTGCTTATGTGCTACTTGCTGGGTGCTGGGCTGCAAAGGTGCTAGGATTCCTAGTGGAGGGGGTGGCAGGCTTTGACATTTAAAGGGTGCAGGATCTTGATGAGTGCTCCTTCCTGTCTGCCCCTGAAGGGCACAGATGATTCCCCTCTTATTCTGCATAGTCTACCCACATAGACTCCTTCTCTCCTTCCATTAATTAGATCTAACCAGCCTCCTGCAGTCGGCCTCCAGCCCCACTTCAAGGCATAACTTAAAAAGCCTCAACTTCTGGAAAGTGCTGTGTGAGAGAACATAGACACAGTCACTCCATCAAGAGTTGTGGTGCCTGGAGAAGTCCAGCTGCAGCCCACAGCTGGCCAGGCTGCACAGTGCCATGCTCTGTTGGACTGTGAGAAGACTGCAAGAGGCATTATTTCCCACTGTTTGTCTTTCATCTGCGTGTGCACCAGCCAGCTGGAAATTCAAGCAGAGCCATAGCCAGTGTCCAGTGTAACCACAGACAGATGAGATATGCAGAACCTGCCTTTCAAGGTGTCTACCTGGCACTTGGCTGAACAAACAGAAGAACACAGTTGACAAGAAGCCTTCAGCATGACAGGGGCCCGGAACATGAGCACCAATGTTACTGGGGTCAACATACTCTGTATTTTCCTTAACTTCAGTAGTCATTTAAATAAATTAAATCAAAGTTTGCAAGCTTGCTTTCTGAAACCCAATTCTATCGGGGAAAGTCCTGATTTGAGGTAACCTGTTACTGTGTTAGGGGTTCCTGTCATTAACCACCCAGCTTTGGCTGCATCTGCTTTAGCCAAAGATCAGCCCAAGTGTGACATGGCTAGTCAAGGTGTGATGGTAAAACCATCTCTCATTTGCTTTATTAGTATGTGATCTTGGGCTGGGATGTAGCTCCGTTGGTAGACTGCTTGCTTAGCATGCACAAGGCCCTGGGTTGATTCCCAGCACTACCACATAAACTGAGTTGAGGTGGTACATGCCTACAAATCCCAGCACCAAGGAGATGGAGGCAGGAGGATCAGGACTTAAAGGTCACCCTCAGCTAGACAGTGAGTCTGAGGCCAGCCTGGGATACAGGAGAATCTGTCTAAAATAATATGTATATACAATCTCCCAACTCGTACATGTACATGCCCACATTGGAAGGCCACCAGGGCTGTCGCCCTGAGCATCTATGTGGCCATGCAAGAGCTATGTAGTTGGGAGAATCGCAACAGGAAGACAGACCTCACACCAGGGCTTCCTGGCTTTTCTCACAGTGAATTCCAAACACTTGAAGTGAATTCACTTCCAGATAGAAGCATGATGAATTTCATTTCCATGCTGACTGCTCGCAAGGTTTGCGCAGCCTCTGCAGACCTCATTATTGGGTACTCCAGTGTGTGTCTCACTGCCATGAGTTCATGGGAAAAATAAAGATAAATGTGGCAAAGAGGCAATTCCTATGCAGGAATAAAACACAGGTTAACAGTAAATTTAAAAAAATATTTTATTTATTATTTTTATTTTATGTGTATGTGTGTGTTGCCTGCATGTAGGTAAGTGCACCCGTGTCGTGCAGTGCCCATGGAGGACAGAAGAGGATGTTGGATCCCCTGGAACTGGAGTTACAGACAGTTGTTAGCTGCCATGTGGGTGCTGGGATTTAAACCCAGGTCTTTTGCAAGAACAACCAGTGTTCTTAGATACTGAGCCATCTCTCCAGCCCCATAATATTAAATTTTTAGGGCAGGCTCCTGAGGAGACCATGGATCCTCAGGATCCCAGCGTGCTACCTTCATCAAGTGTTGATTGGATTAAGAGTCACCCAGGGCAGTGCTGAGGCTCACCTTTGGGTGTGTCTGTGAGGGAGTTTCTACAGAGGATTAACTGAAGGACAAAATTAAGTCTGAATGTGGGTGGCACCACCTCACAGGCTGGGGTCCTGGACTATGTAAAAAAGGAAACATAGGAAAGCCCACCAGCCCATGTGGCTGGTCCCCTTCTCTGCTTCCTGATCTTCCCATGTGTGAGCAAGCAGCCCCAAGCTCTTGCTGCCACTGTTTCCCACCACGATGGACTGTACTCTCCAACTGTGAGTTAAAATAAATCCTTCCTTCCCTTAAGTTGTTTCTTGTCAGGCCTTTGGCCACAACAATGATCAAACCAGTTATACATCAAGGTAAGCATTCCAACACAGAGCTAATCAACAATGCTGGGTCGCCTTTATGAGGAAACAGAACAATCTTCAGTCATGTAATTTGTATGTATACATGTTCATATATATGTGTGTGTGCATGTGCGTGTGTGTGAGTGCATGTGTGTGTGTGTGTGTGTGTGTGTGTGTGTGTGTATGTATGTAGCGGCCAGAGGTCAACATAGGGGGCCTTTTCAATCATTCTCCCTCTTTAAAAAAAAGATTTTATTTATTTTTATTTTATGCGTCTGAGTGTTTTGCCAGCATGTATGTAAATGCACTATGTGCATTCAATGTCCCTGAAGGCCAGAAGGGGGCATCAGGTCCCCTGGAACTGAAGTTACGGATAGTTCTTAGCCACCATATAGGTGGTGGGAACCAAACCTGGGGCCTCTGCAAGACCAGCAAGTGCTCTTAACTGCTGATCTGTCTCTCCAGCCTCCACCTTATTTTTTGAGACAGGGTTTCTCACTGAACCTGGTGCTCATCAATTCAGCTAGACTGGCTGGCCAGCAAGCCCAAGAATTCACCTGTTTCTGCCTCTCCAGCACTGTGCTTACAAGTGTGTACTACTATGCCTAGCTTTTAAAATATGAGTGTTGGGAATCGAACTCAAGTCCTCATGCTTGTGTCACAATCACTGACTGACTGAGCCAGCTCCTTTACCTCTCACCCCACATCATGCAATTTTTATACTGCCAAATTACTTCTGCAGATTTAGTTATTTTTCAACTTTGTCATCTCTCCAAAATGCTCTCACCAAGAGAGTATTAGGAAAAACACATGAAACAGACACTGAATACTAAAGCCAGCATGCTATTATCTAAAAACTATAACTGATAAATTAGAACTGTGTTTTCCAAAGTGTAATGCAGGCAACAGGCACTAACTAGAAAGGGTTCCACAGCTGAGTAGGTTTGGAGAACACTTAACAGAGCTGACAAGTTATTTTATTGTAGGAATACTGAAGGCTAATGGGCATGGTGAGTCTCAACACTGTCATGTTATTTAGATGCTTAGTACTTGTGGTGCGGATTAGGATGCCCTGGAATACACTTTGGGAAACACTGGCCCAGACTCAAAAAGAGCAATAGTCAAGCACACCTGAGTCACTACACTCACCTCTTTCATTGCATTGAGCCTCCTAGCACTGGTCATACTGGTTTCATTACCTCATTCATTGTGTGTATATGTGCCATGTGTGTGCATGCATATGTGTGCTTGTGTATGTGGAAACTGGATGTCAACTTCAGATGTTGTTCCTCAGGAGCCGTTCATCTTATTTTTGAGACAGAGTTGCTCACTGACATGGAGCTCACTGATTACACTAGGCTGGCTGGGGAGTCCCTGTCTGTGCTTCCCATGTGCCAGCATTATGGGCCGGCCACCACGCCCACCTGGGATTGCATCGTATTTTCATCCTCCATTCATTTAACCTAATACACCACGGCGTGAACTTTTATAGATCACGGTGTTGTGTCCTACATCCTAGGACCAAGTCAGTCATCCAGAGAATCGCTGAGAAATACTGACCAATGCTAAGTTCAGAATACTGGGTGGTGTGTGACCTAGGGCAAAGTATCATTACTGTGCTTCAGGAACTTTTCTAGTAACAAAGAATCACAGAATACTTATGTTCAAAACAGAAGATTCTAACTGCAGTTTTCACTAGTGAGTGCTGT